AAGTGATCCTCCAGCCCCAGCCTCCTTAGTAGCTAGGAATACAGATGCTGACCACAATATCCAGCTGTTTTTTCTATTTTTAGCAGAGACAGGGTCTTGCTCTTGCTCCGGTTGGTGATGAACTCCTGAGCTCAGGTGATCCTCCCGCCTCAGCCTCCCAGAGTGCTGGGATTACAGGTGTGAGCCACCACACCTGGCTAGGAATTTTTTTCTCTTTTATTCCCTGCTGAGTCCCGGTACCTACAAGAGTGCTCGTTCATGGTTGATGCCCAGTGAATACTGAACGGATGAAACAACCAGTTCCCGCTCACTGGAGGAATCCCACAGAGCTAGCCCATCAGGGGGATGGCGCACGCCTGCTGGGATGTGCTTTTATAGGCCATGGCTCCCCTCTGTCCTGGTGCCTACGGAGAACTTTCTCCAAACAAATCAACAGTATAAAAGTTCTCCTTGAGAGAAAGCAGAACTGTTATCCCTACCCCCACTTCCCTGTTATTTTAGGGCACTAGTAAGGATTTTTCCCATTAAAATAGATTTATTTCATAGGCAAATTTTTTTCCAGATCTGTCTTCCCCCTGTGTTTCTGGCCACAGCTGCAAAGTTTAGTATTAGTGCCAGAGGCAACTGATTAGTTAAAAAATACATACTCTGCTCTAGGCAGGCATCCACTTGTATTTTCATTACAAGAGGATATTAAAAATGATGCCTTAGACTTTTAACTGTCTACACAGCACAGGTATCTGTTACCGCTGGTCCTGACAGTCTGCCTGTGAGAGTGGCCAGAGCAGTTACTATTCCTCCCATTAGCAGACACAGGAGCTGAGGCCCATCAAAGCTGGTGATATAGAAGACCCTTGGCATGATTGCCTATATTTATTTTTTAAATCTTATTTTATTGCATCTCAAACCCTTAAATGGAAAAGTCTGTCTTAGGTTATACAATTGCATTTTTTTAAAGAAGCCTCAATTTTGGACACACCACTGGGGTGTTCAGCATCTGTACTTAATACCCTGTCATGATGTTTCTTCTTGCTAAAGTTGAGCTCTCAAAAATGACAAGGATAAACAGGACCCACCCATCTTGTGGTTTTAATTTCTAAGAAATCACATGATTTAAGAAACTACAGTTTTCCCCTAAATTTTTATCCAGTGGTAACTTAATTTCAGATGCCTGAAGCTGGTTTCTGAAGAAAAGTCTGACTTTTTCTTAAAACACCAGAATGTCCTTCCTACCAAATAGCTTAGATGTCAGCTCCTCTAAAAAATCTTTACCTGAAGCTCCACACCAGGCCGACCCCCTCCTGTATGTCTCCTAGTAGCACCTGTGCACACCTTACCCCAGTGTTACCCCACATAAAATGCCTGTTGACCAGCATATCCCTTGATATATATCCATTTCTTTTTTGTTGTTGTTGTTGTAGTTTTTGGCCAGGGCTGGGTTTGAACCCACCACCTCCGGCATATGGGGCTGGTGCCCTACCTCTTTGAGCCACAGGCACTGCCAATCTCCATTTCTTTAAAGCAGGGATTAATCACCTTGGCACAAGCTGGGTGCTCAATATTCGGTAGCTAAATGAACGAATGAAAGAAGGCAAGGGAGGAGGGTGGCTGCCTCGCTCCTGGTGTTTCTTGCCTTTTCTTCACCCAAATTCTTTCCCCTCTAGGCTGTAAGGCTTCGATGTAGGAACTGGACATGATTCCTTGTGGCCCCTCTTCACCTCCTCCTTTCTGGGACACTGGTGCTGGTGGGAGCACACAGCCCATCAACCTGACAGGCGAGAGCAGACCCTGCGTGGAAAGGCCCAGGGAGGTCCAGCATCGCCAGGGCCTGGAGGGCTGTGCTGGGCGGTTCAGTATTAGGAAGTACCCTGGCCCACAGTTGTAAACTAAACTCTCTCACAGAAAAGGTGGGATTCTGTCTTCCACTGGATTTTTTCTTGCATTTTATTTATCAGTTAATTTAGGGCATGGGAGAGGATTATTTTTTTGATGGGGGCCGGTAAGGGCTCTATCAATGCAGACCAGTGAGCTTTGAGATTTTTAACTTGAAAGGCTTTTCCTGTGTTATGAATGACAGCTCTCCCAGCCTCTCACTGTCCTACTAAGAAAGGAGAAAATGGTACACAAGGCTGTAAAACAACACAGTCCTGGGAATTCCACACACCCTGGAAAAGCCCAGCCAAGGGCTGAAATGCAGAACCATAAAACCTTTCTGTGCCATCAGGAGAACACTCCGTTCTGTCTACAAACTTAGACTTCCGTGATTCAAGTTATCTATGCCAAATTTGGGGACTCTCTCTCCCAATATTCTCTTTTTTCCCCTAAACCTTAAACACTGCTGTAATTAACATGCGATCACAGAGCTGGGCCTGCCACAATTCCCTCTTCCATTCCTCCCGCAGCGCTGACAAGATGCCTGAGCCTGGCACAGGAAAGTGACCGCTAGCTTCTTACGCAGCGCTTGGTTCAAGGGGAGTCCAAAGGCATCAACCTGACTCGGCAGGTGAGCAGTTTCCCCATGTCTTGTACCTGTATTCATCATGACCTCAGCCCGGACACACCCACTAGGAAAGACTCTTGGCAGGTAACAAGTGCTGCAGCGATTAGAGCCCAACTCACACAGCCCCGCCAGGCAGGGACTGCACCACACTGCACAAGTGAGGAAACTGACCCAGAGAAAAACACGGTCAATAGCACTCTGGAAGGTGAGAGTGTAGACCAGTGATTCTCAACCTTCCTAATGCCATGAGCCTTTAATATAGCTCCTGTGGGTTACAACCCACAGGTTGAGAACCGCTGGTTTAGACCCTTGCCCTTTAGACTTCAATAGCCACATGCCGCTCTTTCTATAGGCCTCAGCTGAGCCTCAGCCCCTTTACTGAAAGTCTCACTGTGAAGGGGATGTGGGGCTGTGTCCCTGGATAGCGGGTGGTCATCGTGGTAATCTCTACACAGGTTTTGAAGGACCATGGCGATGCCCTGTAGAGGCCCACACAGGGCATCCTGAGCATGTGGCTGTCCATCTGTAAGCTGACATCCTCAGGGAGCAGACGTAATCAAGTTTAGGGACAGCTAATTCTCTGACCTGTTCCCAGATGTCACATGAATACTCAATAAGCAGGGCATTCCCATGAGCCTCTGCTCCCCGGCGGCTGCTTTTCTGGGCTGAGCCTCCAGACCCAGCAGGTGCAGCCCACTTGCTTCCCACATTGTCGGACACCCAGGGTTTCCTCTGCTGACAGGGAGTGAACCACTTCTAACCAAGAGCAGTAGGTCTACCCCAAACTCCCCCCGGACCCTCAGTCTTTTTGCTGCGGATACAGAATCCACATACAACGCTGCTCACTCTGGCATGTGTTACCAAAACGCATGAAGACGATCTGAAGCTTATTCTGAGATGTGCCCAGGAGGGACTCTGGCCAGTCTGGGTTTCGTCTCCCCAGAACCAAACTCACGAACACAGTATGAAGTTCTCCTCTTTTGGTCCTTTCCCTCCCGTATCTATCATCGTTAAATTGTGACACTGAACACGAGGAAGCTGGGAGGCTAGAACCCTCACTCCCTCCTCCAGACATGGCTCAGTTCAAAGCTCACCTCTACAGCCTCCCTGCCCCACCCTGCCCATGCTGCCCTGCACTCAGTGCCTGAGGTTCAAGTTCTTGACCAAAACGCTTCTTTCCTGGTTGGCTGGTACATCTGTTCCTTGGTAGACTCCTCCAGTCTCACCCCCTGTGACACCCCTTTGCAGGCTCACAGCCACATCTCCTGTCCGTTCCTACACTCTGATGCTTCCCTGCAGCTTTAGAGAAGGAGCTTGTCCCCATCTATCAAGGCTGGGCCACCCATCCTCCGGGAATGCCAGCCATCACTCTGTCATGATGTCATGATTCCAGGCACTAATAAAAGGCACATTTGTGTGTTTGAGCTATTTCTATCTGTCCTCTTGCCATCTCTAAAACATCAGGAAGTATCTGGAGAATTGTTCTCTCTTGAGTTCAAGTAATCATTCTTATCATCTGAAAAGGTCTTGAAATCCTATATTCTCTGATCGAATGTTCTCAGACTGTTCAGAGAAGAGTCAAGACTTCTTTCCTCTTTCCATCCTATTTCACCCTCTGTCTCCCTCCCCCTTACCTGCCCCCCAAAGCCCAGACATGTAGTCACCAGGGACTGCTGCCTCTGATCTTCTGCCAGGCTCTTACTCTTGGCAAATGTTCAACACACCACACACCTTTCAACTGATACTTTCATCTAGATATTGTTTTTATTTGACGTTTAAGATATATAATTTTTATATCTCATCGAGCGTATTTCTCTTGGACTGCAAGTTCCTAGAAGGCAGGGCTATCCAGTAGAAGGAGGAACTTTTTTTGAGACAGAGTCTCACTGTGTCACCCTCAGTAGAGTGCTCTGACATCACAGCTCACAGCAACCTCCAACTCTTGGACTTAAGTGATTCTCTTGTCTCAGCCTCCCAAATAGCTGGGACTATAGGCACCTGCCACAATGCCTGGCTATTTTTCTTCTTTTGTAGTTGTCATTGTTGTTTAGCAGGCCCAGGCTGGGTTCGAACCCACCATCTCCGGTCTATGTGTCCGGCGACCTAACCACTGAGCTGTGGGTGCCAAGCCTAGAATGAGGAACTTTTTGCTAACCATAATTTATGTAAGTAGATGTTGTTAGATGATCTTGGGAGACAGCATTCAAGCCACTCAAACAATATGCAAACTGTAACCGTCTGTATCTAGACTTCAGTCCTGGGCATGTAGTCACACCACCTCATCCATCCGCTGTTTCCACATCTAGTGTAATGATAGCACCCCAGAGTGGTGTTCTACCCCAGGTGTAGATTCTGGTCTCAGCCCTGCAGACTCATGCTGCGACTCGCTGGGGATCTGTACTTCTCTCTAGAGCCTATCTGATGAGGGACAAAGCTCAGGAGTGGATTCCTGGGCTCACAGCCTTACAAGTGGCCGGCGTCTTGCCCCAGCTATACTTACTTGGTGAGGTTGGGGAGGCTGCACCTCCTTCTGCTGACGTGGTGGGAGGCTTCGTGTCTGGCACCGGCAGAGGCACTGGCCTGGCCATCGGCGGTGGCGGTGGCGGTGGCAACATTGGGGTGGGGAGGAAGGGGTTGTGCACCTTGCCTTGGCTACTCCCATTGGGCTGGAAGGTCGGGGGGAAAAATCACATACAAGAAAAAGAAGAAAGAGATAGCAACTATTAGCTACTTCTGAAAACAAAAGATTCAGTGGACACCTTTTATGTAAATTACTAACTATTCTAGCTGCTTGAATTCTTCCATAGCCCATATAAATAACTGTTTGGTTCTGTTCCAAAGGCATCCCACAAAAGCACATCACAACACACATGCTCAGTGCATCCTAAACTAATTTCTTGAACCACCTTGTCCTTCTTTGGGCCTGGTTTCATAAAATCTCCTGCCCAGTGATCACTCTGGACTTGTCAATCAAGTAACCAAATGTTGCTTGGGATATTCTGGCTCTGTATTAACCTTTATCTTCGTCATTCTCATAATCATTCAAATTTTTTTTTATTTGTGTAAATTTGTGGTGTACAAGTGTATTTTTGTTATTTAGACACACAGCACGGTGCTGAGCTCAGGGCGTTTGGTGTATCCATCACTAAAATTTTATTTAAAAGCAAGTGTTTTATGGAGTATGCTATTCTAGTATTCTAGTATTATTTACACAGACATGTGTAATGAAGTTTCCTAAATATTCATTTGAAATAAAAAATAGTATTTTTATTTTCACTCTTCCAAATTGGTATTATATAACATTTAATAAATATTGTTAAGTGAACATAAAACATTTCTTTCACATACTGAATAACATCAGGCACAAAAACTTTAGAATCCAACTGTCAGAATCCAGCTAGAGAAAAATATCACTTCTAATTTTGATTTAAATTATATAAGCATATGCCATAAGAGTCATATTTATTTGGCTGCCTGATAAACAACCAGTAACATTCATTTAACAAAACAGTCTCCCTCTAAAGAGAGCAATAAAATTTGCTTCATTTTCAAGGTTTTCAAAGTAGTTCCAAGAGACATGCCTTAAACCCTGCAAAATTTTGACCAAAATACAAAACTGGGCATTTGATAGTTATATAGGATGATGTCAAGAATATTTGTTTTTAAGTCAGAAGTTGAGAAGTCAGAGTCTTGACGCTGGTGATCAGCTCAGTTTTTTCACTGTTTCCCAGGTGGGCTTTCTGACCAACTTTCTGGATTTCAGTGACACCATTCGGCTAATAGTAACAGTGCGTATTTAGGCTGCAGTCCCCAGTCAAAATCATGTCCTAGGCTTTTATGTTTAAGCGTTAAGATTCTGCAGAGGAAGTTTCACTCCCCATCAACATTCGCTTATGTGTTGTGTATTATTCCTCAAAGACGCCTCATCTGACAATCAGAAGCCTGTGCATTCTTGCCAGCAACCTCGCCTGTGTGCTATTTCTGAGCGGGCTGAACGTCTGTAAGTGAAGGCTTTAGAATAAGCCAAGCAAACGAACGTACAAGCAAGAGGAAAAAGGCACCATATTGATTTGTTGTCTAGACAGAAATGTATCTGCTAACACATCGCCAGACATTAGTCAAAGCGGCCTGCTCTGGCTCAGATATGCAGAATCAGGTATTTCTGCAAGGAAAGAGACTCCGCGACAGGACGGGGCGGTGCACATCCTGAACTAGGCAGTAATAATTATGGCTAATCTGTGCCTTCCGGTGCAGTTCATCAGGAGAAGATGACGACCAAATTGGTCTTTATCCTGGTGATTGTTTATTATTATTAGCCTTGGGTTACAGCTACCCATTGTAAATGTTTAATTCTATATTTGCAATAAAAATTGTGATTTTTAAAAATCACTTTTACATTTGGAATGTTCTTTCACATTATGATTACTTGGTTTGAGGAAAAATGAAAACATTCATTTAGAGCTATTGAATACTGTTTAGCTTTACTCAGAGATAAGGGGGAGAGATAACTACTTGCAGAAATAACAAACCATAATAAACCGTGCTTCTAGCATCTTGAGTTCAAGTACTGGTCAGCTTGATCTAAAGCGTTAGAAGGCTGTATTTTTAAAAAATATCAACTTAGTTGATCTGAAACATCTGTCTTCTTCATCTCCCTACCTCTTTCTACCTCCCCAAATCATTATTTAAAATTATTTGGTCTTTCTATTTTGTTAACTGCAACAGCCCCAGGGTTAGAATGCACGAGGTAAAATTATCAGCCCACAGGACTTCGAAGGTTATATAGTTCACCCTTGAACTGATTCATATCCGTAAACTTGACAGTTGCAAACTTAACACAAACACTGTTTTTAAACCCTGACCAATCACTCTTAGAGCCAGTTGACTTTCCCACAATCTAGAATAAATATGACATTTGCCTGCAGTCACTCAGCAGGACATCAGAGCACGATGTCACATGGTCATGAGGTCTCCCTCTTTGTTATTTTTTATATTCAGCTAACATTTCTAAAGAAATTGGAAAAAAAAAAGAGGTTTCCTTACATTGAGGAACCCCACCTGTCCAGCCTGCTGGCCAGCGTCAGGGCAGACAAGTTGGACAAAGTCTTTCAGCGTCTCCTGAGGGTGGTAGCGGATGGCCGGGTGTGAGAAGTAAGGCCCAGGCTGCTGGATGATGGGTGACGTCGGGAAGTGAAGAGTTGACGGTGTTGCATGTGGGCTCGCTGTGGGGAGAAAACACGAGGGTTACGGAGAGAAGGGCGTGGCCACGGCTGGACCCCACGTGACGTCCTTTTCTATCTTCTCCTGGCCCATCCACAGCGCTGCTCACGTGCTCCCGTGACCGGGCTTAATACTAGAGAGGCCTGACAGATTTTCTTCCTTAAAGCTCTGAGACAAACAAGGAGGTTAGATTAGGGTAGAGTTTCGAACTGTCTTTCTATATTCAGTGGACATGAGTTATAAAGGCATTAATAATCTTTGGTGAAGCTGAAGATTATTCATTACCTTAAGAGCCTTTTTAATGAAGCAAGCAATAAAAAATGTATTTGGTAGATTAGAGCTGATTTAACAGACATTATATATGACAAATTCCAGTTTGCACATATGGATTCGCTTTCATGCTGAGCTCTCCACAGACAATAATTCATTGTTAAAGCTCTTATCCCCCTTTCAAGGAAATTTCTAGGGACTAATTCAGGATGAAATTTTTTTGAAGTATGTAGCAAATGATCACTTAATGAACCCGAGCAATCTGGGTGCCTCACTTTACACGGAAGGTTTATGTCGCTTTCAGGTGCCGTTTCAAAGCCATACTCAGAACTGCAGAGCGGGGGGCCGTAGGGTCGGCAGGCACTGACCCCTGCTAACATGCTGGCCCTCTGCCCATAAAAGCTGATAACAGACTGAGACAACCACTACTCCCTTACACTTGAACCCTGATAAATTTCATGTGTATAAGATTACATTAGATTAAAAAAACTTATATGAAGTGCTTAATAATTCTTCTGAGAGAACTTTTGCCCTTGAATTGGAAGGATGATTGATAAAATCAGCGGGAGGACAAAAGCAGCACGTGGGGAAGGTTGAAGACGCTTAAACCAAGTGAAGCCAAGACAGGGCTCTTGCTTCTTATCAGGGGCCAGAGAAACCTCTGCTACGTTAAAGAGATAAGAGTATTTATCTTTCCTTTACTTTTTGCAGTTTACATCTTTAAACTCAAGAAGACCTTGCACAGAGAAAACACAAGAATGCCCAAATTTCTGTAAAGTAAGACTTTCCCAATACCAAGATTGACTCACACAGGCCGCCCTGTCTCCCACCATCTCATTAGCTGGCCAAGGGCTGTGAGAGACCCACCTGCCTGTCAGCCGTGGGGCAGGGCTCTCTGCTCTCTCCTGGGACCTCCCCACGACTGGGCGCTTTCTGACTACTGACTGACGGAGACGGAGTGCTCTGTGGTTCAGAGTAGCAGTTTTTAAAGAGTGGAGATGCGGGTTTGGAACGGAAGCAGCAATCCAGGCCACATCTTGCAGATGACCTTGGGGAACCCTTTCATCCTCGAATCCTTTAATCTATCCAATCAATACTCAGAGGCTCCTACTATGGGTGTGAGAGACAGGGTTGAGCCCAAACAGATGAAGCTTTGCTCTCAATCCTACAATTGAGGACAGCTCGAATGTAACTACTTGGAAGAAGGATTTATGTCATCTTCCCTCCTCAAACTTACACTGGTCATCTTTCCCGTCTTAGTAGACAGCTTTCCCATCTCCACTGTCATATCCCCAGAAATGAGTTTGATACTCAGCCAATATTTATTAGATGTACAGAAATTAATAAATAACCATAATATGGACTATGAGGTCTCACAACTGAGTTTGCAAACTTGCCACCGTGCACTCATGTTAGCAGCACTGTACCAACATCTCAGGAAGCTTTCGTGACCTTGCTACATCAGTGCGTCACAGCTGTGTTTGTGTTAATGTGTGGTGGTGTCCTGCTGAGTGGCGTTCACTATTGTAGTTCCATTTTTTTGTGTACCCTCACGAGAATGTCTGTTAGACCTTGAATATAGCAATGAATAAACTTTAAATTTCTTGTTAAACTTGGCAAGAATGGAAGTCAGGGACATGTTAGTTCAAGTTCATGGGGATGATGTCATGAAGAAAATGGCAGTATAGGCTGGGCCTGGTGGCTCACACCCGTAATCCCAGCACTCTGGGGGCCAAGGAGGGTGGATTGTTTGAGATAGTCTGCCTGAGCAAGAGCCAGACCCTGTCTCTAAAAATAGCCGGGTGTTGTGGTGGGCATCTGTAGTCCCAGCTACTTGGGAGGCTGAGGTGAGAGAATAACTAGTGCCCAAGATGTGGAGGTTGCTATGAGCTATGATGCCACCGTACTCCAGCGTAA